AAAGATGATTGTTACAGATAATCTGTAGGCTTTCCTATGATTTCTAAAGATTATTAATAAAAGCCTTTCTTTACTTAAACCGAAACATATACTATTATTTAAGTAATTATACGACTTTATTAAAAATGCTACCTTAATTAGAAACACCATTTAATGTAATTCCAAAATTTTCATAATATTCAAATTTGTTACTGCTGCGTCTGCATGTCTCTAGCAAAAATTTTTTTTATTAAACATAAAAGGCGAGTCTGTAGAAAGCTAATGATAAAGAAATTAATTTTTATTAGTTTATATTGAAACCTCAGATTCTGTTTTCAATTAACAAAACCCAGAGAGGCATTAAAAATTTGTAATATTCGAAAAATCCACATTAAAAAGAACTGGAATTTTAGCAGGTACAAAGTTTTTAAATGAAACAAAAAAAAATTCAACCTTTCTAAAATCCTATTAGGTATTTCGTTCGAAAATTGTTTGTTCTAGAGCACCGAAACGAAGAAGAAAACAAATAATAAAGGAAGTATGAAATTCGTTCGCAACATCGCATTTAAAATGATTGAGAATTACGAATAAATGTGTATGGAAGGGTATTTAGGGGGTGACGGTGGATGTTGAGAATATGGAGAAGGGTGGAGGGAGATAGTGGAAGTAGAGGCATAAGCATAAGCCAGTGTTCAATATAATAGCGGCAGATTCCTCGGCGACCGCAACCCGCTCGCTCCTCTCCTAGGCTAGCGTCTCGAAACCGCACATTTCATCCCCCCGCAGCCTCCCCCTCCCACACCACCGCCACCTACTACCCACTACCGCTGTTGCTGCTGCTGCTGCTACTTGCCTGCCGTACACTCTTAACAGCAACGGGGGAACGTTTTACTGTTTTATTGATTAATTGAGTTCAGCCGAATTTCTCCCTCTTTCTGATTTTGGTTTTGCCCATCGAATTTTATGCTACGCTCTAAGACGGCTCGAGAGATAGATAAGTAATTATTATCGGTGCATAATTTCCAACAAAAATTGGAATAGAATTGAAACTTTATATTATTACTACTACTACATACTTTTTACACGACGAGCAAGTTATCTTTTTCAACAATTTTTGTAGGTTTTAGGGTTATTTTCGTTAATTTTATCTCCAAGCAGAAGTATTTTTTTTAACAATGATGCTGTCTTAACAGATAATATTTTCTTTTAAAGAAATTTTTATCATAAAATCCACATAAATCTACATCTTTTTATAGTTATAAACAAATCAATTTTTTTGTTTCCATTTTAGTTTTGGCCCTTACTTTTCAGATAGTTTCTGAAACTAAAAGGAATATTCTAAAATACTTTCACGTAATCAAACACTTAACACCTTCCCCCGCTATTACTAATTTTATTTAACAATTTGCTTTTCGTAATTAACACTATTATTATTAATTCACCACTATTTCAGTACTATTCCACATTTTGTTACCTTTTCGGCTTTTCTACTTTGCTTTATATCGCTTCATAACTCGATCCCGTACCAACTCACTCTTAGAACCTCGCGGCAACTATTTATACGGGCCAGACATGTTCTAGAATGATTCAGAATATGACATCTAGAAAATCACTGTGTATGTTGGGTTGCCTACATACATGTGACAATATATCCTCCCATTCCTCTCTTATTTCAAATTAAAGAAAATTTTAAGCCTTTATCTTTTTCTACACATCTCTTTCTAGAAATCGACAAAAATTCAGAACAATGAAACGGAAAATACTACAAATGGCGCAGTAAACGCCATCTGTAGCACGATACTACATTTCAGGATTACGTATGCTCCAACAAGATCCATTTAAATATATGGATATCTACTTGCTGAAAACGAATCCCGGCGTAGCCAACCTCAACGTGATAGGCACGTTAGCTTAATCGAATAAAATAATTCGAAGTGGTCTGTATTCTGTCGAAACTGCCAGACGCGGATCGCGATTTCGATCTTTTTGGATCTCATCAGCGCGTCGCAGGCAGCTCCGACAGAACACAGACCAACTTTTACCTGCTGTCTTAACAGTACGCTTTAGAAAATACTACAAATGGCGCAGTAAACGCCATCTGTAGCACGATGCTACATTTTAGGATTACGTATGCTCCAACAACGACGCGTTGATGAGATCCAAAAAGATCGAAATCGCGATCCGCGTCTGGCAATTTCGACAGAATACAGACCACTTCGAATTATTTTAATGAAACGGAACTTTGGCTATAAATACTGTTTAAGATTTCAAATTGTGCAATTAAATATCTCATCATTTGGAAAAATTACTCTACTGACTTGATAACTAATCTTCATTCTGTTTATCCATCAAAATGATGACCATGGGCACTTTTCTTTTAGTCTACACATGCAAATAACCTGTGATACACACACGACCGCGATGGGAATTATGTTTTCCTATACACACGTGTGTTTATAGGTATGTGTACGAAGATATTTCGTTGTGCTAGCAGCTGATGTTCATTATTTCGGACGGGTTGCGGCTCCCGAATATCCGACTATTGAAAATAATAACCATTCCAATCTTGGCCCTAATCAACGGATTCGAATTTAATTTCCTAGGAATACCACTGAAGCTTAACGTCCTGACTCGAAATTACATTATTTGAAATGTCTAATGCACACAGAACGCGCACTTCTACCCGAGCTAAGTAATTTATTAAGCAACCGTTTAGTCCGAACCCAAAGGGAAGCATTTTAACCGATTCGATTTAATTCAATAATAATTAATCAATATTACAAAAAATAATAAACGAATATTATATTACATCAGAAAACGGTAAGGTTTGAATAGAAAATAGATTGATTGGATGACAATGAATGATGAGACCGAAAAAATGCATAATGCTAATGGTTATTTTAGAAATTCGAAAAAGATTATTGAAAGTGTCAAAAATGTTTTTAATTTAATTTTATCCTATTAATTACGGAAAAGTTTTAAAGTTAATTTGCCATTTACATTTGTAAACTGAAACAATTATTACTTTTATTTCTAACAAATAATAATGTCTTTATCTGAAATTGTTCCCGAGTTCTCAACAATTTTGGAGTGAAGGTCATTTAATTAAGACCACAGTAGATACATTGCGTACTCCATTTTAGATTGAATAATTTTTATGTTAAACACCTTTAAGTATCTGACAAGATAATCGATTCAATATACCACCAGTTTTAGTTAAGTACATGGGAGCTTTTGATTCAAAGTCATAAATAGTAATCATTATCATACTTCAATTGCAGTTACTTTGTCAGGAATTGATTTTCGATAAGGATTTTGTAAGGTCTAGACAGAGACATATTAGAGGCAGAAATAGGAGTTAAGAGGAGTAGAGATAGACCTAGATTAGATTACTGTTCACAAATACTTAAAGATGTGGGATGTTCTAGTTTTAGGTAATTGCGAAGATTAGCTCAGGATAGGAAAGAGTGGAGGTGCGTGTCCAACCAGTCTTACGTCTGGCGTCCTTATGATGAGGATGAAGGATTTTGTGGGATCCTTTTCGACTAACATATGATTACGACTTCTTATTTCAATTTAATAAAATATTATCCCTGCAAATTTTCGAGGATTTTAAAGGAACGGAAGGGATACTTCCCTTTCCGACTTCCTCAGTTCTGAGAATCGGAAAATTAAAGGAGAAGCATGTTGAGGACACGCAGAAAGCGTCACCGTTTCTCCATGTATATTTATTCATATCTGGAAACCAGATGATGATATAAATAGCGTCGAAAGTCGCGTTTTCTGTCTAAATCACGCGGCATATTGCCATGTGCGCCTGCACGCCCGCACGTCCCTCGCTTTCTCTCACTCAACCGCCATAAATTAAACCGAAATTACTTCGTATAATTTTCTTGCTCACGTACGTTACACATACACACATCCTTGTACCTATATACAACGTACAACGAACGGTCCTGGGTACCTACTTATGTGTACCACGACGAGTGGATATCTGCTTGCTCGCTGCCTTCTGCATTCTGAACGAACACGAATCGCAATAAAATAAAAGGGAAGTCAAGTGGCTGCTGCCTCTGCGAACCGTCTGCCGCCATATTGTTCTCGACGATTTTATTTGCCTCGACGAAGAAAATGCACGTCGTAATAACATCACATGAATTTCTAATAAGCGGAATGCATCCGATTTAATAAAGCGGTTTCGGTTTTAGATTAGTACCATACTATACTATACATATAAAAAACAATTTTGGGTATTCCCTCAAACTACTGTTGGGCGGTCACTCCGTCCGAACTACGCCTACATCAATGTTTTTTTTTTAAATATGGCGAGTAAAATTAAGCTTGACTTTATTAAACCCTAACGATAAAATAGACGTGTTCCATTGTTAATAACTAAGTGCGCAAACAATGAACACTTTTTATTTATAACTAGGGCGGTCGCAGCGCGTGCCGCTGTCTACTACAGAGCAGTGACGTCATGCGCTGCGCGGAGATCTTAAAAGCGTTTTGAATATCGGTAGTTTTAAAAACGCTGTAGCGGTCTCAAAAACGATTTTTTGACCGTAGGAAAAAACTATTCACAAAATTGTATGTTGAAGATACCAAATACCGAACGAAAATTTTTCATCCCCCAACCCAATTTCGGCCACTCTGAATAAAAATAATAAGCCAAGCACCGTTATCAGTAACGATTCTCTGATGGCGTTTTGCAGTAACTCAACAGACCTGGCAGCCTCTAGCGCGGCTAGCATTCTTCGTCCTGAAATTGTTTTCGCAACTTTTTTAACTTTCCAGATGAAATTTTAATGTAAACGTACATTCCTCGTCGATTCCGAGTAATTTTATTCCCCGGGCGTCTCCCCTTGTGCACTCCTTTTTTTAAACGAAATCGTGGCGAGAGCTCTCTTACTCGCAACGTACTAACTGCCAGCAGGCGAGTTAGATAAAGAAAAAATGATAACGCCATTATTTCAGAGATGAGCGGCTAAGATGAAAAAAAAAATAAAAATAAGATTGCTTACCTTCTAGACGGGTAGCTGGAGGAGGTTCTGCTTTCGACCGGTAGACGTGCCACTTCGCTTTACCATAATACTGAAAAGCAAGGAAAGAAAAATTAGTTGAACTGGAAGCATTTGTTAGGTTTGGTTATCCATCTTCAGTGTGTGTGTGTGCAAACATCAGCGTTGTCAGATGAATTCCTCTATATTTTATATTTCCCCGAAGATTGTACTATCATCTATCCCAGTTACACCGATTTTATCTATCTTTCTTCAATAAAATGGTGTTTTTTGTGATTGATGTTTTAATTTTCAAATGTTTTCTTTTCTTATTTTAATGACTTTAAAGTTTCCTATTTTATATTTTTGATTATTGTCTTTGATGGTACTTCAGTTTTTAATCAAAAATATTTAAGATACTGTAAAGTGTGTCTCTGAACAGTTGGAGATACTGCAAAACAAAAAATTTATTTCAGAATTTTACTGATGGGTGCTGTCGCTTGGCCCCCCAGACGCCATTGTCACACATCGTCATGCTACCCCTAGACCTCCACCTCCTTACGAACTGCCCGTAATGAATGCTTCTTTAGGATAATAAAATGTAGTTCTTTATTACAACGTTAATTTATTTTTGAATGTAAGCAATGTATGCTTCTGTTTAAGGTCCTTTTAATCTACCAAAGATTTCTGACAATGAGTACGTACAAATTACACGAGAATCTCGATCGAAACCAAGCTGGTAATGGTAGTAGTTGTATACTAAACCGCATTATGTCGTTAGTAGAAATGATAACATCATGTATGCGACCATAACCGGGAAGATTTTCGACACACGGATCTGATGTTCGAATTTGCATGTAAATAGGTGCGGAAAGGCCAGTAAATAATTCAGACTGACCCTCTAATAGAGATGCCATCTTCAATACGCCTCAAATTTCTCCCCCTTTCACATACACATATGTACTAACAAACACACTGCCGGAAGAAGGACAACTGATTTACATAAGAAGAAAAACGATCGAAACTTTTTACGGCGACATATTTTTCTCCATAGTGGACAAAACGATGATACAAAACCGAACTAGACGAAAACTTTTACAATGGAACTGCATACAATTCTAAGAAATATCTTCAACACATAATTGCATATACATTAATGGCAGTAAATGATAAAGTTCGTTCATAAATAATAAATAAAGAAAAGGAAGCAGTAAACGAATCTTTTAAACGAACTGACATGGAATACATAAATGTATTAAATTTTTCGAAAAAAGAAAAAAGATCAGATTCTAAAAGCCGTTTTTACGCCACAAAACTGAACTGACTACAAATAGGTATAAAATTGATAAATATGTTTGGATTTATTGTCTTGTATAGAAAAGACAGAAACAGAAAATGCCATACTTGATGTTGACTCAAATGGTTTTGAGATCAAAACGGCAAACGTCTTCAATAAGGATTCTTTGACAAAAAGTCAGGGAAATTCCTGTTATTTCGCTACGATCAAATATGATTGCATCACGCATTTGTTGAACATTTTTGCTTGTTCTTGAGATTGAGGAGCGACCCAAATGGGGTTCATTTTCGAGTGGTATTTGGTTACATCTGAATTGGGAAAACTACTCGTAAATTATTGCCTGGCTTATAGCTTTCTTTTTTCTTTAAGCTTCCCGAAGCACTGAAAGGCTTTTTACAGCAATCGAATCGTCGTCGATATCTTTTACGTAGTACCTAATTGTGATCCACCTCGGGTTTCTATAAATTACTGATTAGAAACTAGTATTGTTTTTCTTAATAACCTACCTCGTATATAAATTTCGCCGTCGATTCACTACGACAAAAGTAGACGCCTTAGCATGAAAGGCATAAGAAGCTATTGAAGTTTTACGTAAAATTTCAAAAATACCATTTATATAAAGTATAAATATTAGTGGGCCTAGTATTGTCCCTTGTGGAACGCCAATTTTTATCTTTCTTTACTTGTTAATTCTGATATGTTGCAGTCTATTTGTTAGATAGCTTTTAATTACATATACCTATGTACGTAAATGTATATAGGTACTTAGAAAGAAAAGGAAGAGAAATTCGGTATATGCTTCTCTTATAGCCTGTGACAGTTGTTGTTGTTGTGACTGTCGAGTTTCTTTAACAGGACGCGTCTCCTTTTTATGTCGACCGACCTGACGCCAAACATTACTGTCCGATATGCAAATCGAACCACATTCGCCGTCCTCACATTTCAATACAGTTGCTACTCTTTCCCCTTACCGAAGCTAATTTTCAATTCTTTGAGAGAACCAATAATACATGTATTGCATGGATACGGAACTTAAAACATCCTGGCTCCTTGGTGAGTATTTAGTCCGATCAGCAAAATAGTCCATGTCAATTTGTTTCCTCAACTATTTCAAAGAAAAGAATTTAATTTGGATACATTTTTGTTTCTTTTAAAAGCTTTATCAATAAACTACATTATACGAAATACATCATCATCGTAGGTCCTAAGACTGCTTGGACAAGCACCTCTACTCTTTCCTATCCTGAGCTAAGCTAGCACTCCTAATTCCTCTTTTTGCTTCTAATATGTCTCTAACCTCCTTCCAACTCATCTTGTCTATTTTTTATTGACTTTCACAGCGCCATATGTTCTCGTCCTCAACAAAAATGGTTAGAATCAATAGCCATAAGTTAAAATAACTTCATAACTTCATGAAATCTAGTGGACCATTGCATAACTTAATAATTTGCTCAAATTTTTGACTAGAGCTACAACTTGATAAAATGTTGCTCCCTGCATGAATGAATGCGGATTATATGCACTGGACTACACATTATGATTCCATCATCTTAAGGTTTTCAGCCACAAGACTGAAGCAATCTACATACGAGGGCGGTTCAATAAGTACCCGTGTTTGAAGACATAGGACCCTCCTGAGGGAAATTGGTGTTGCCATCGTGTGCTGCCATCTATAAAACCACGCCAAAACGAATTTCAGACTGATTGATAGGTTAGTTTGGATTTGGCAGCCATTCGACTGAGACGTGTTTCGTTATTTTCGCTAAGATGGAAAAAGAGCAGTATCGTTCGGTAACTCGCTTTGTTATGGATGGGAAAAAATGCGAGGAGATAAAAGCAAAGTTGGATGCTGTTTATGGAGACATTTCGCCATCTATGACCACACATAGATATCGCTTCAACGAATTTAAACGTGGGCAAAGGTCCGTTTTTGATAGGAGCGACCAGGAAGCCTGGCAAACTTTGTTACCGAGAAAATCATTTTACGGATTTTTTAGGAAAAGGAAGAACGATCACTGGACAATACTACAGTGAGTTATTGGACCGCTTCGACAAAAAATTGAAGGAGACACGGACGCATTTGACAAAAAAAAAGGTGCGTTTTCAACACGATAAACTGCATGAATTACGTTATTATTAACTGCTGCCGCACACCCCGTACTCACTCGATTTGACTCCCTGCGACTTCGTCTTGTTCCCTACCATGAATAAATGACTCGCGAGAAAAAAATTTAGCACAAACGAGGAAGTCATCGCCGAGACAGGGGGGATTTTGGAGAGTTCGACAAATCTTATTTTTTGGAGAGGTAAAAAAAATGATAGGGACGTTGGGAGAAGTGTATCTTTCTAAAAGGGGACTATGTTGAAAAATAAAAAAAAAAAAATAAAAAAAAAGAAGTGTTTTCATTTCTAACACGGGTACTTATTGAACCGCCCTCGTACATCTCATCCAACCATTCGAGATAAGTAATCTAACACAGGTACTTACATAGGTGTACCACTGCCCCTTTAACTATTCCTTCTGCTCCCTAATAAATATATTTCTATCCCTCTAAACTATCTGGAGTATCTTTAATTTCCTTAATAACAAATTATTGAAAACCTGCTTCCTTATTTACCAAGGCATGTTTGTAATAACTTGTAATAAGTATTTTTTGTGGAGAATTCCTAAATCATTGCTAGGATACAATTACCCATTTCATCTGGATTTCTTTGAATACAAGAGTCGAGATTGTTGCCGTTTGTTAAGAACAAAGTCGGAACCGAGAATAGACTCGGTAGTTTTGTAAGAAAAGAAGACGATAAATTAAATCCGCAAATTCCGCAGTCTCCTCCGCGGCACATTATTCGAGCTTTTCACTGGCGCGCTTTAAGAAACTCACTAACAACAACAGAATTAATTCTCCTAACGAACTTTCCCATGTCAGAGCGTTAACACAATTAAGAAATGCTTGATGTCGGGCGCCTTTTTTGTAATGTACGGGCGCTAATTTGTCTACTTGTCGCCGAAATGCTGTTACATTGTTGCGAATGGTGTTGATGGTGTGGAGGAGCGCGGATACACATTACGGTAGAAGACGGAGAAGAAGGCAACGAGCAAGGAAAGGAGGAAAAGCGCTCGTTGTTGGCACGATGGAGACATGTTCTCAACGCGGCTGTGTTGCTGTTGCTGCTGGCCTGGTTGTTAGGGTGTTACCGTGAATTTATGGCGTTGTAATGGGGCCAAGCACTTCCCAACCCGCCGACACATCACCATTTCGTCGTGTGAATCTCACTCCTCGTTTACGCCAACCAATAAATTGCGTTTAACGTTTGTCCCCAAAATCGTGTTTATTACTAAACACGTGACCCATCCATTTTATTCGTACCTCAACGCAACCCTTTGCTCGCCACCTGAAGTACCCTTTTTGAAAACCATTTTCGGTATAAATGAAAAAAACAACTGTCGAGAAAATGAAGACAATCCTGCAGTAACTTTTATTCCTTTAGAATGTTTGTCACACCACTACACCGTTAAAAAAAAGACTTTTGGGTGTTTCATTCCCACCAGCCAGTAATATTGGGGAGCGGGCAATTCCTCTGGACCATGCCGGAATGTAGGACGGAAGGACCCCCCTTCAGCTTCATTTCAGGAATCGTGGGAACGGGTGGGTGGTAGTTCGGGTGAGAAAGATGAGACGGACGAAATGAAGACAGAAGAAAGATTATTTGTGGAATATTACAGCCCCAGCGTTTGCCTAAATGATCCAAGGAAACCATAGAAAAACTTGGACCAATGCAGACAGACCCGGAATCGA